AACCGATCCCATCTCTAGTAGGCTCAATTCTAGCATAGCTTAGTGGCTCTGCTGCCTATGACAACGAAGTAATTATTGTTCCTGACATGACATTGATGATAGAATTTCATAGATCAATAAACAGCTAAAGAACTCTTTATAAGGTAATGGATAGCTTTCAAGTTTATTTAAGTTGAAAGTCTAGCATAACAAGGATGAAACAATAAAAAGAGCAAACAGAACAACAGTGAAAGAGACCAGAATAAAAAAAAAAGAAAAGGTAATTATCATTATCTTTTCTCTTTCTTCTAAATTCTCAAAAGCTTTCATCCGTAATATAAAAGAAAGCGAAATACATAACAATAGCAATAACAATAATAACAACAGCAACAAGAATAATATCACTTTATCCAAAAAACAAAAACTGTTTTTAATAGTTATAACAAACAAAGACAAAAAAAAGAGACCTAGAAATGCACTAAGAATGTGCAATATAAAAAAAAACAAAGAAAACAAAGCAAAACAAATTTTTAATGTATTCCTACTTTTCCACCACGTCGTGCTCCACGACTAGGAGCTCCTCCATCATAAAATGATGTTGATGATGAATGTTCATAATATGATGCTGGATAACCAGTTGATTGATAATTTGTTGGAGAAGCAGCTGTTGGATATGTTGGACGAAATGTATGCGGAAATGGACGACGTTTTTTTGCTTCAACATTAATTTGATGATTCTTTAAAAGATTTTCATGATCAACTACAATTGCTTTAGCCATTTCAATTGATTGACATACAACAAATGCAAAATTTGCTGCACCAATTTGAGATCCTGTATTACCAATACGAACAAGAAGAAGACGACCATATGTTCGAAATAATTCATGAATCTATATTTATATACAAAATATTTTTAAATATTATTCTTTTTTTTTTGCTCTCTTTACTTCTTCTTCTGTAATTTGAGTTGAAAGATTTCCAACAAATATTTCTTGATCATCTGTATAACCAGTATGTAAATAACTTTCTTCACCAGTTCCATAATACCATGAATCATCATAATACTCATTGATACCTTGAGAATGACTATGTGTTGCTCGTACATTTCGACCAGCTGATTTTGATGATTTTTGTTTACTAGATTTTGATGTTTTTGTTCCAGTTGCAATTGGTTTTGTTTCATGTTCATTTGTTGTTTGTTTTTCTTTTTTTCCAATAGCATCTCGATAAGATTTGGATTTTGATGTTTGTTCTTTGTTTTGAATTTTTCCTTGTTCATTAACGGGTGTAGCTGGAGGTGTAACACTAGATGTTGAATTTGTATTTGCTTCAGATTTATCATCGTCGTTCATTTTTGTATTATCTGAAAATTTAATATCTGTTGAAAATGATGGAGTTATTGATGTTTGTACCATTGAAGTTGATGTTGGTTTTGCTGGAATAGTTCCAAATGATGCCACTGAAATGAATTATATTAAAAATCTGTATATTTGGAAAGATTTTTGTTTATTAGATGAATTTAATTAGTTTATCCAATTAGAACATTATAGCAAGCTCTTGAAAGATTACTGATAAAATTGATATTTTTTTTAAATAGAACTAAGAGTATAATATTAATCGTTTTATGAAGAGAACATAACCTCAGTTGCAAACATCTTTGCACAAAAAGTCTGATTAATTGTCATCCACTTATAAGCTAGAATCAGAATTTTTATGCTGTTTCTAACTATAAATTCAGAAGTGTTTCTCTGACTTAAAGTTAGTTTATTGAGAGCAAATGTTTGATGAAAGTCAAAACAGACGTCTCTATAGAAATTTTCATGTAGTACTATCTCATGTGAAGAGTATTCGTTCGAAAAATATTTATAGCTTTTAATTCTCTTGAGTTCTAGTTTATTGTAATTCATCATTTGATAGAAAATCGAATTCTTTACAACATGATAAAGTCAAAAATATCCTCAAATTCTCATCGAGAGAAGTTATACATAATAAAAAGAAATGATATTGCTTATGAGAGAACATTCTCAAATGTTCTCTTCCTATTTCAATGGTTTTTTTTCAATAGATATTACATGGTATTGTAGTGAATACACGAAGGCTCCAGGTTTTCGGGAGAATCGTGTTTTTGAATTTTGTTTTGAAACCACCTTGATTTGAAGGTTTCAGATAGAGCAGGTTGTTTGAAAAGTGTGAGGACGTTGTATCTCTGAGGTATGAGCTTCTCAGAAAATTCCTGTATTATAGATATACTAAAAGTTTATTGGCTCCACTAAGTCTCAATAGGACCTCAAATCTTGTCAATGCTTTCAAATAGAATACTATGTGGTATCTACTAGAATAAACCATTGAAATCAGAATGGAGCATTTGAGGAGGCTCGTTTGTTTGTGCGAACAATATTTTTAATTTATTCAAATATTTGCTCACAATTAACTAACCGTAAGTCAGAAAAAAATGGCGAATATACATTTAGAAGGAGCATCAAATTCTGATTTTAATTGAGTGCTTTTGACCCTCTTCAATACTATATAAGTGTATGAAAAGTGAGCAAACATATTTATCAACGCTTTTTACTTTGACATTTTATACAAACGTCGGTTTTTGTCATCATCAAAAATTGGTTCTCAATAAAATAACTTTAATCCGGAAAAAATTGTAAGTACATAGTTAGAGAGAATATGAAATTCTAATTTGAGCCGACTACTTTTCAATCTCTTCAATGACTTATAAGTGGACGAAAATTGGCCAGACACGTTGAGCGAAGACAGTTGCAACAAAAGTTCATATGAGATTATTTGGCATGCATATCAAAGGTGTAATTAGAAAATTCAATTTTGTAGTGTCTGAGAATCGAAAAATCTTTTTCGAGTATTATAAATCAAACATAACCTTAGAATCACTTTTGTCTCATGAAATTTTGCATCTTACAGACAATCATATAAATGATCACCTATTGATCTATACTATGATCACACAGATCAGAGTTATTCATGGAATTATCCATAATATTCTATAAGATTGTTTCACACTACTTGACTGTTCGAATTTCGAATCAATAAAACCTGGTAGAATCAATTGTGTCTTATCAATAAACACATTTCTACTCTTTGTGAAACAAGATTTGAAAGGAGTGTTAAAGTATAAGAATAAAAATTTGAATCTACCTCTAGAGCCCGTTAGATCCGAAATTTTCGGATCCGCACCCGACTAACAGAAAAATTTCAGACCCAAACCCATTGGAGGTCGAGACCAAGTCGACTGGCTCTACCCACCTCTCCCTTCTTCCATACACCGCGATACATGTTATTAATATACAATCAAAGACCATATATCAATAATGTCTAGACCTAATATGTGAACTACTTATCGAATTTCTGAACGAGTAGGTAAAAGGATAATGAAGAAATGTGTACCGAAATAAATAGAATAAAGCAATCGCCTATGATTAGCAACAGCTACCACATCGTGTTTCACAGTTTAATTCCTCAGGAATTATACGGACAGCCTTTATGGCTGATATGGAAAATTACCTTCATTATTATCTGTTGTTATTGTTGTTGTTGATATTTCTGTATTATTATTATCTGTTGTTGAAGACCATATAGCATCATCTTGATATCTGAATATATCATTGTGTACATAATATTTTTGTTTAGCATTAACTGTTGGTACAAGAACAAATGTTTGAACAAAACGTTTCATAATTGGTGTTTGATTATCTACTATTGATGACGAAGATATTTTTCCACAAACTTGTACAACAACTGATGAACCAACAGTTGAATGACAATCAACTTGATGAATTTTAACATGACGTTGTTTTAATGATAATTCTTCAATACGTTTAGCTATATTTTCAATTCCAGTAACAGTTTTATTTGGATCATCATGCATAAATGTTGATGATGATGAATAAAAACGATATAAAGATTCAGGATGTTCATGAAGAAGACGATAATATTGAACAACAAATGCTTTACCAATTTGTTGTGGTGATACATCATTTGAATTGTTTGTTGTTGTTATTGATGGCGGTGATGATGATGCCATTTTTACCATTATATAATCAATAATATAATAGAATAAATAATTATGTTGGATAAATTATCGAGAAAAACATTTAGAATATCTAAAAATAAAAAATGAGCAAATTCATTTAAGTTGAGATTTATCTTGTTGAACAACTTTTGTTTTTTTCTTTTATTTCGAAAGTAACATTAAAGATGGTAATATTTATATGATATAGTTAAATTAATCATTTTACCAAAGAGTATATTCGTTAGACTTGAAATAAAACAAAAAAAGTACCAAAGAAAAATTGATGAAAATTTATTTCTTTATTTTCATAGATATTTCGTGTTGATATTGGTGTATGTTTATTTTCATAAACAAGTATCGTCTTTTCAAAAGAATATACAGGGTGGTTCAAAAGTCAGTCCTTGTTTTCGAAATAAATTTTGATAGAAATAAGATAATAAGCTAGAACTTTGACCATTTGAAAGAGACTGTGTCACTACATGATTCCATGTATGATTCAACAATGTCGACTTATGACTAAATTGTCAGTCAGCGAACTTCAAAAAAATACTGGTAGTTCTATGAAAATAACACCGAAATGCACTGAATTCACGTGCTCACGATCCACATCCAACTGCGAAATGGTTATCATGATCGATTTATGAGTTATAGGTGCAACACTAGACAGTGTGTGTGGTTCATGAGCATACAAATCTAATGCAATTCTTAGAATTAAACTTCTGTGTCATCTTACATCTACTAGTATTTTTTCAGAAGCTCACTTATTGACTATTCGATCATCAATCGACTTTATTGAATCATACATAGAACCATGCAATGACACGGCCTCTTTCTTAAGGTCAAGGTTGCAGTTCTTTATCTTATTCTTATCGACAGTTATTCTCAAACACAGACTGTCGGGTGACTTTTGGACTATCTTATAGAATATTTTATTAAATAAAATAAAAATCTTCATTATAAAATCGAAAATATTTTTCATTTCTTTTTATACAATATAATGATATTCATGTGTAAAATATTTATAAGATTCTTTAAGACAAACATTATTTGCAGACATAGGTAATGGATTTGTTCTATAATATTCACAAAGATGAACTATATCGACAAAACTTTTTAAACCTTTGTGTGCTAAACTATATTCATTTTTCTATGAAGAAAATAATAATCATTATTATTACTATTATTTAAAATTAAAATAAATGATTTACTCGTATCGGCAATTGATATATTGCAAAACATCGAATGTCATTTAATTTATAATACAAACATAATGTCTAGAAGATATATAATCAATGTTTAGTTGAAAATTATTTTTCTAATCAATATTAAATATATCAGAATTTTAACTCTTTGAAGTCCAGTATACAAAATTCTGTACGTTACTTTTTTCGAGGTTCTTATTTTTTTGCATAACTTACAAACGATAGAGAGATATCGGAAAACGACGATGCAGATTTTGTCGGCTAATCTCAAATATGTTATTGATTTTGCTTATATATATATATGGAAAATAAAAAAGATGCAATTTCTCACAACATTTTAATTATTAGATTTTTGCATGATTACGACAGACATTAACTATAGAAGATAAGGTAGAATGGACAATCCTTGGTATCTCATCATTATCTTTGTATGTATGTTTCAATAGTAGGTATTCATTTCCAATGAATTTCTCACATCATATTCTAGTTCTTCCTCATATTTTATGTAAATTATGAAACGACGTTTTAGGATATCTGGTGCAATTTTGAAGTGATAATAATATTCTTCCGCTGAGTATTGAATTTTTTTTTAGCAGAGAATCTCAAACTTCAAAAGTAACGCTCGATCGTAAAATAGCTATATTTAAGAAACTATTAAGAGCTAATACTTCAATTTCATATTGTAGATAGAGGAGAATCAGGGCTATATTTCGATAAAAAGAAAAAATCTTCGTATGTGTTGAATCACAAGTTATTGGCATTTTATAATGAAGAAAATGAAGCATTTATTTCTCACAAACAATCTAAGAAACAAGGGCTAAACTTCTTGGATGATCAGTATTTGCTGTTAGCAATGATCACACGAATTTAAAAATTTCTAGCTATTATAGTGGAGCAATGATATTCAAAGGATTCAAAATGTACAAAATATGACTTACAAAGAAACTATCTTAGCTAGATATCGATAAGATGGTACTGGTCCCGGTCTCGGTAGGATTGAGACCAACACTTTCTCATTGGGAATGATATGTTTTATAGTCATGTAAGACTTGTGTCAAATGTCCTATTCTCACTACTGGTGTGTTCTATAAGTTTATGCGAAAATTATTGAGTAATGATCACTTCAATATTTGCTGTTACAATTTTGATAATAAAATAAATCCCTTTTTTTCTGTACATAACAGAATTGCCGAACACATCAACGTGCGGAATAGATGAAGTATTAGTGAATTGAAAAAAGTAATGAATTTCCAAGAGGAACGACATTGGAAATCATATGGGTCGCGCAAGATGTCTGAAGTGCATTCACACTGTTAGATAATGATATCGCATTTTCCACTAATACATGCATTACTAAGCACGAAACTAAAACCAGCGATTTCTGACTATGATTGGAACTAAAAACGATTGGTCCTGCACATCACTAATTTCAGATGATAAATCGTTTTTTTTTCAAACAGACCTTACTGAATCATAGGTTATCAATTATACTAATTTCAAGTATGAACATGAGAAATATTCTTAAGCATTCATAAACCAGTCCTCCATGCTAACAAAATTTTCGTCAAAAATTTGTTTTTTTTTATCGATGTATCTACGTTATAGAGCATATCAAATCATCTAGAAAGAAGTAAGTTTTTCTGTTCCAAACAGTTTGTGAATCGTATCTAGAACTGTGAACACTCGTCTATAATCGTTGCTATAGAGAAAAAATGCGAAATTTAATGGATAATCTTTTGTCACGTTTTCACACAAACATAAGTTGCAAAACAAATGTGATAACCTTATTTTTATTATAGATTAAAATCTTCTCGCACATTAATTTTTTCTATTAAAGATAGATTATTAATCAACAGTATAAGAGAAAATTGTAATTTTTTAATATAAATGCTATGAAAAAATGAAAATAGACGTAGACAGTTTCCGCGTAGCGTATTTGACAAAACATTGTGCCTATGTTATACAACAAAAGTTTCCCAACGCTTCACTGAGTATAAAACAAGACACACGATGTAAAGTTCAAGTTCTGCATAATTCAATGATTAAATTAGTTTTATTCGATGAAAATGCTCGAATCATTTTTGCAGCTCTGTATAAGAAGTGAATAGTCAAGAACAGCTCACAATGCATCCAGATTTGTTCATCTAATTCATCTGAGTTAAATTATACCTCAAGAGAATATTTTTGAATTCGCTCAACTAAAAATATCTGCAGAAAAAGCGTCAGTGTACATTTTACAGCATAATTTGAGCCTATTTGGAACAGTAGAAGCTAGAGAGTTGAAATTGTTATCGCTAATATAACGTTCTGAGCTTTATTCAGTTGAAAAGTTTCAATGAAATTAAAACTACCGTTCGTGAGTTATAAACTAAACAAGTTTTGAAATGACATTACATTGTGAGTGAACCCATGTCGCACGCTTGTTCGTACTACTGCTGACATAGCGACGATTTATCGGCGGTCGCGCTTATGACTTTCGATTACAGCTGTAAACGATTGCAGAGAGTATTTTTCTACCCTAACTCAAATTATGTATTAGAAAAAATTCAAATTAATCGTGACGAAAACAGTTTCAAAATAAATTTTACTAATAAAAATTTATCTTATAAATTGAACCAGCTCGGGCTCTGCGACTAGTGCAGACACATCACCCTCATCAGAGTGCATCGAAATCGTCTCAATTCTGTCAGTTTGACAGACTTCAAAAACGTTCATCCGTTTTGATACAGTACACCATAATACAACACTTTCAAAAAAACGACAGTAGTTATCACATAAAAATAAACTATTTTTTGTTAACTTCAATCCCTTTTCTCTAATATAGAATTAAGAAAAGGTAAACATTTTTCTATGAAAAAGTTCTTTATTATTTGGTATATTTATTGTCTATTCAAGTCTCTTCTAGCATGCAAGAGCGATGATTTTATGTCATTGTACATAGAAAAAGAAAAATTGTCTGTTATCGAATGCCGAGAACAGAAGTATATGAATGGAAAAGATGTATAGATCAGTGAACCACATGTTTCGATAGAGTCCTATCCAAGCTACAAAATGGCCTAGTTACATTTTCATTCTAGTTCTTTTTTTTCGCAGACAAGCATCGTCTTTTACATACGTCTCGCTTAAAAATGCCATTGTCTCTAATTGTCAACGACATAGCATAGAAACATAAGATTTAGTTCGGGTGTGACGAATTGCAAGAATAGAATTTAAAAAATCGATTTTAAAATCGTTCGTTCGGAATGAAAGTTATAGCACAGATACTCGAAACCAATAATGATACAAAAAAGTTGCACTTCACACATCTATTTAAATTATGAAAATCTTTTTTCAGTGACAGATTTAAAAAAAAAGTTTCTTTTGAATGCTTACATAATCATGATCACTGAAACTTGATTTTTTTGCTTGGGGTCGAATAAGAAAAGTACCATATTCGTGAGTTCTAGTTAGAATACTTGTAAAAAAAAATAATAGCAAATTTTTAAATTAAAAAACTTTTTTTTTCTCTATTATTTACCTTTGATAATCATTATATTCATTTCGATAAAAAATATCATTCCATACAAGTCTCTAATGTTTATTTATATTTTAAGAAAATATCATTTTATTTTTTTTTACCTTTTCTTGAAAAAATTTTGAATTATCATTTGATTGTAATTGAATATAAGATAAATAATGTTCTTCATTTTTACTAATAGAAGATTGAACATGTTCAATTGGTTCTACTTTTGAAGATGAAAATTCAGAATCAGACTGAGTTATTGAACAGCTCAGATATTGTTCTAAATTTCATATAATTCAATATAAAAACAAAACATCCATACAAAAAAAAACACATACGATGGTTATAACGAACATTTCTTTTTGTGTAATCATGACAAGAACTAAAATAATTTGTTTTTTCTTCCATTTTTGATAAACATTATCCTTATTATTTGACTTACGAATCTATAAAGTATAATGTCTATTTTTTTTTATATATGAAAACAAAAAAATCAACCTACCACGATCGACTGTTGGATTAGAAGGTCCGGCATCTTTGAAAAGAAAATATTTAAATAAGATTTTAATCAAATGACATAAGATAAATTTAGCAATACAATGAGAAATCAAATGGAGCAAAAAGAAAAAGAGAATTTCTTCCTTTTTCTAATAATCGAATTCAAACAATTCATTATTTCATTACCATTTTCACTAGATATTGGTAATAAACTGACAAAATAATAGAATAGAATAAAGAAACAAAAAAATTTCATTAAATTTACTATAAAGAACATGCTGGTAATATTTCTGATTTAGATTTTGAAAAAAACATTCTTTAATGTTTGTATCCATGTCTACAACAAATTCTAGGAAACAAAATAAAACTTCTTTTTAAATTTACTTGTTGTTGAAAAATATCTTTTGCACCAAATATTTCAGTTTTATCTTCGTTATTAATAAATTTTAATTCAAATAAAAAATATTTCGATGTTGATTCTATAATTCTATTACATTGATCATAAATTCTAATACAAATAAAAATAATTCATTGAATAAAAAAAATTTATTTTTGTTTTATCGTTACTGTGTTGTTTGATCTATTTCAAAAAAATATGATGGAGATTTATTTTCATTAGAATATAAATATAGTCCAATTTTATACTCGAAATTTTCAATTGGTATTCGAGTTAATACAACAAGATAAGTTTCAACTAAAATAAAAAATTTTTATTTGTTTAAAAAAAAAAAGACAATTAAAAAAACATACATTGTGAATCACCAAAAATTTTCGTATTATATAAATACTTTAAATGACTTTGGTGAATAATCCATTCCGATTGAATATTTTCATATTTATATGATGTATATTCAATCGGAGATTTTGATTTACGAAAAATTTTTCGAAAATTTAATTTCCACAATCTCATTTTATTTTTATCATCTGAATTAAACTAGTTTTTTTATTTGTTTGATACATATTTTTATTTTTATACTCATTGAAATTGAATAACACTATGTTATCTAGAAAAATCAAATAAATATTATCATAGGATGTGCAAAAATTTAAAAGAAACACATTATCTTTCTCTTTCCAATCCCAGTCTAGCGAAAACTATTCGAGAATTTATTCTTATCACATCTAAAAAGAAACGTTTTTCAATACTCGTTTCTTTTGATTAATCAGATCGATGACTAATACTTTTTTGGATCATCTTTCTAGAATTAAGTTCTGATTAATATGAGTTATAAGATAATGCGTTAAAAACCATAGAATACTTGACTATAATCTTTAGTTTCGATTATTTTTCGAACATTTTAAGAATGTCTTTGGAGGAAGAGAAAACCATAAAGAAGTAAATGTACTTTTCGATACTCCATCATCTTATTCACAGAAGAACAACAATACTATCATGTACTCAAATCTCAAAGAATGTTAGAAAAGTATTGAGACTGTCGCCAATGTACTTATCCTCTAGAAAAAAACAAAGCATCTATTAAACATTAAATAAATTAAGTATGATTTCATGAATAAAAACAATTGAGCTATACAAGAGGATATCGTTATGAAGTTCTGAGCCAAATAAATAAACTAAAAGAATAATTAGGATTATTCAGAAAGAATTTCTCTTTTAAAAAAAAAAAAGTTTATTTTCATTTGGAAAAAATCACTTCTTTAAATATTTCACATCACCTTAATAACGAATTAGAATAAAAGAAAAACTGCTGTCAAAATTACAAATTAATTGCTATTACAACATTTCGTAATTTCGTTTATTCTCTTGCTTTTCACAGATATATTTGGTTGAAAGCACAAAAAAAAAATTATATTCTAGAACCAGCCATTCTTTATCTAAAATGATTTATAGTTCAAATATACTTCATTATTTCTTAATATTATTACTACAATTAATTTACCTTCATTTAATTAAAATATAAAGAATAGAAAAAAAAAATAACGAGACAAATCTTTTTTTTTCAATGTCTTTTAAATTTATAATTTGTTCTAATGATATGCATAATAAGTATATGGCCGTTCAAGATAAATATTTTCAACAGTTTCTTTTATTGAATTGACTCGTAATGTTGAACGTGGTAATTCATGATTTGTATAATATTGACAAAGATCAGGAATTGTAAAAAAACATGGTTGACTATTATTAGTTACTAAACTATATTTACCATTCTAAATATTTGAAAATAAGTCTATTTTATATTTTAAAAAAAATTTTTTTGAGAAATTACCGATAAAATTAAAATTTTATATTTAATTATTTCTCCATATGCATAAATACTTAATGTCTGAAAAACAAAAAAATCTTTTTTTTTGTTTTTTCGCATTTAATTTTAAAGATATATGACATACATGATCATGATGATTTGAATTACTTTTTATGGAATGAGGTCGAACAAGAAAAGCTCCAATTTGACAAATTGTATTCAGAATACTTGATTGATTTTTTTTGTTTAAGAAAAAATATTAAATGAAAAAATAAATTTTTTATTTTGAAAAGATATTTACTTGGCATGATCATTGCGTTCATTTGCATAAAAAATATCAGCCCATGTAAATGACTAAATAAAAAAATAAAAATAAAAATTTTTTGATAAAATTTTTCTTTTACTTTATCTTCTAATGATGTTGAATTATCTTTTTCTGTCTCTATTTCAAGATTTGACTGAGATTTAGTATTTGTTTCATAATATCCTTTAATAAAACATTGGGAACTTTTTGTTACTGAAAGATAAATATTATCTGCCGTTGGAGAACTCGCAGAACGATGGCATCGTTGAATTTCTCTTTGATTATTTTCATTTAATTTCAAATATCTTTCGTCTGGTATTGGAGGTGGAGGACGATGACGTAAAATAGACGTACTATTTGATTCAGACAAACTTGAATGTCGTTCTAAATTCAAATAAAATATATTTTTGTAGAGAAAATGGCGTAACATGTATATGTATATATGAAATGAGACTATGATTCATAGATGAAATCGATTTATTAGTTCGATTGACTTGACTAGTAGATTGCTAATTAATTCGTCGACCGAAAAATCATTGTCACGGAGAATTTATACTTCTTTGTAGATTGTGTTGTAGATTTTAATCATGTCCGAGATTAAAGAACATGATTTATAGGAATGAATATTCAACGTACGGTATAACTTGGTACTAGAGTTGAGCATAGGATAGAATGATCCTGTTCTCAAGGGGAAAGGGCAAAAATTCCGTACTTCAAAGCTATTTCAAGTCTACTATCAACGTATATCACGAACATATTAGTTTGAGCTCATCTTTAAATAAATCTCCTTGGCAATAAAGCTCAAATACTTCGTCAGACTTTATTAGTAAAGCATGGAATTTTCGCTTTTTCCCCGCGTGCTTGTCCTAAGAGACAGGAAGGCACTAAATTTTTTTTTTCTGTCCTATCCCTCAACAGAACAAGCAAGAGACAAGGTGCATATAATCGTTCTATGTTCTTATTTATTTCACTGAGAGTCAACTGAAGCGATACAGTATCAAATGAATCAACTGTTGATTAAAAGTTTACGACTGGCTTAGACAATTAAATCAAATAAGACATCTTCGACATTGAAACGAATGCAAAGAAGAATTCGGAAAATGATAATAATGATTACGAGTTAATCGTAACAAAAATATACTATGTAGTTATATACGGAAAGATAAATAGAAATGTTATCTGTTCTATCTCATAAACCTATACACTCTTCAAATGTTATCTATTTGAATTACATATTGAATATTTAAGGAAATAAATTGTTAGATTTTCCTTTATTTAATGCATTACCTTCTTGTGTATGATATTCATTATTGATTATCCGTTGAGTTGAACTGAATTTAATTTATTTGAATTAATTATTGAACAAATATATTTAACTTACTCTGTAATTAAAAAATTAATTTAAAAAAGACAAATAAATGTAGATTTAATTTACTTGGCATAAATGGTTCATAAATAGAAGTTACATCGCCATTAATATGGTCTACAAAAAAAAAACCAAGAAAACATAGTACAACAAAGAAAAATAACTTCTGTTCAGTCTAATCAATAAAATTGAAAAATCAAAAAAAAAATGAGCAGAGCGAATCGTTTTTTTTTCAATTCAATTTCTTATCTAAAGTACCTATTTTATGTGAACCTTCTGTCCAACTTTGTTTTAGATCTGGACGAACCATGAGTAAACTGACCGAACACAAATGTTAAAAAAAATTTTCTTGCCTTTTTTTTACTTACTCATTCGAAATAAAATTGTGATTTGTCCGATTTAATATTTGATGAATATATTTAATCCATTTCTAAATTAGGAAAAATTAAATAAAAATCAAATGAAAAATTTGTTTTTTCTTACGTCTCGTTCATCAGAATTATTAGCACCAAAAACTTCAATATCACTTTTATCTTTTCCAATTAATTCGAATAAAACATATTTAGATTCTATTGGTTTTGAACATTGATCAGATATTCTATTTGAAAAAGAAAATTATTTAACTTCACACCAATTATAATAAATAATCTTTTCATGAAATTCAGTTATTCATATCAATTTTAGTATATTTTATTCAATGTGCTAGGAAAAATAACTATTCTGAATACAATACAAGATGTTGCAAAAGAGAAAAACATCTACGTCAGTCTAATCATCAGCCATAGATAAGACTGTATTACATCTTTATCTGTTTTGCTGACAAAACAAATGAGTTGTTTATAATAACTGTTCTTTTGAAAACAATAAATAATATCTTGATGGATAGGCTACTCGTGATCAAAAAGAAAAAAAATTTTTCTACTTTTGTTTTTTTTAATCTATCTTCAACGAATATTTATCTGTTAATTGATCTTGCTTATAATATGAAAAGCTCTATCGGTATTTCTTTTATTGCTCTTGGTCTTACAAAAACTTTTCTATGATTTTTCTTTGCGAAATTTTAAAAAAGTTTTCAATGTTCTCTGTTTGATTTCAAATACTCTATTTTCTTTTCATTGATATAATGTATAATGAGACTAGCTCAAAAATATTAGCAATTTAATAATTTTTTTAATTTCCAACATTCCTGATTCTGCAAATAGCTTATGTATAAAAAAGTATGTATATAGTATGTCTGTTCCATTTTTCGCCCACTTATAAGTCATTAGAGAGATCGAGAATGTTATGCTTTTGTTAAACATATATTCATAATTCTTTTCTAGCGTAAAGACAGAATGTAGATGTCTTGTTCTCCACCCGACCACAATCTCAAGATTTATGTTGGATTCCCATCGAATTTTGTCGGGTGGTCGAATCTCTCACGCAGACTTACAGAATCTACTTGTATATGTCAACGCAGAAATGTTTCAAGTTTGGAGAAGCTTTGATAAATTATTTAACTGTAAGGAAATTTTTTCATGTGGAAATTCGAATAAAGAAATATATTTCTTGTAACAATAAGAACATAAGGTTTGTGCATAACTTCTATGATTTATGTATTAATAGAAAGTATCGTAACAACTCGTTCGTTTATTTAATTATATAATTCGTTACTTTTTTTGGAATGAAAACTACTTTTATTAATTGATCGGTTTTTTTTATGTTAAATAAATCGATTTCTGTTTCGTTTCCTTCGAATATGCAACCGAAACAGAGAATCCAGCTTTTCCTCTGTTCTGAGAGTAGGGAAATTTTTCGTTTTAGCGGTAAATTCTGCACAGCTAGCTGCACGAGCTCCGCATATGTTAGTACATGATCCCATACGATACAATTATCAACATTAAAATTTGTTCTCTTTGTATCTGTATATTTTTTAATAAGTTCGTTTTTATTTAAAAAAAATAATCAATAGATATTCGATATTCTAAAATTTTACATTGGATATTTCTGTCAAGTTTGTTGTTGCGTGACTTATACAATAAAATTAAAATAAGGGTGTGGGTTTTAAATCAAATTTTTAAATGAATCAGTTAGAGAAAAATAGAAACATATAATTTCTAGATTTTTTTTCCTAATTGAAACAGATTCTAATATTAATGCTCTTCTACTATGCTCTTGACACATTACTAATGTTAAATATAAATGAAAAATTATTTATCATTTCTCTTATTTGGTCGATATAACCAAATCAACATTTTTTCTGAACGTTTGAGACTTAGTCATGGACAAATCTAAGTCATACAAGACGGTAAGCCAAATCATTCGTTAGGGATGTGACAACGCAAAATTAAAACACATGTATCTCGAAATAATGAAATATTCTAGAACTAATTTTTAAGTGTTACATATATGTTATGCTACTCAAGATACTCTGAAAAAATCAGCACTAAAAACGTTTGTTCAGAGAACTTATCAGTGAAAAAACTAGCGTTAGCGACGTGACGGAGCATGAATATACAGACGAAAAGGTTGTGAGAAAAATTCTTATTTCGAAACTTGATAGAATCTCTAGAAAATCGATTTTTAAGAAGAAGTTTTTTGGAGTCCAATCTAACTGATGATTTCACCATAGATGCGGTTCGTGTCATAGAGTTTATTTTGAAGTTCTCGAATTTTTTTCTCGTATGATCAGAGAGATATTCGCTAATTACTTTTTAATTAAAAGAATTCATTCAGAAAAAGAACCTTTATGAAGAATCAAAGTCAAATGAAAGGTTATTACATCCTATTTTTCCTGAAATGATCCATGTATGCATTTATCAGCTCACATATGAATGGTCGCTTTAAGATGAAATCATGCATCCCTATATAAGGAAAATATCAGCTGTTAATTATCGTTTTCCACATATTTATATTTCCCGAATGCTGTCGAAATTTGAAGAACAGATTTTAGACGTGCACTTGTTACATTCCCACGATCTCAGTATGTTTTTTCCCAATTTGAAATGACGCTCAGGTGTTGAGAACGAATGGTTGACTGAAATCATGACTCATGCGTCGAGTGAAGAAAGTTATTGTACTTCACGTGTACTTTATTTCTTCTCCAAATTACTGAAGTTGCCCTTTTCTCCCTCAGGTAGAGAATGCTTTTAACGAGTTCATGAAAGTGAAAATTACAACTTTTTTACAAGATCGTTTAAAAATACACTCACAAGCAACGAGTTCATGGTCGTCGAACAAGATGTTTTTGACAAGTTTATATAAAAATTGAAAAATTATTACAGCAATATTTCTTTTTTTTTCTCGTTTCATTTCATTTAGGAATATGTTACAATAAACTGTTCGAAAGAAGAGGCATGTTTCTATCGACTGATATTTACAAAAATGTTCATTTCAACATGTGTTTAACGAAGAAATATAGAAATTAATATTTGCATCGTTTTCTTGAATCTCACGAAAAGTATAGACTTTTTTATAAAGATATCCTTCCCCTTTTCTGTTACATCATTTCGTTTACGAACGTACTATCAAAATAAATTATATACTATTCAAAACAGATGAAAAAGTTTTTTTCTTTGAGAACAATAAGGGGGAGACTCAGATGGTGGACTCTATTCGGCGAAGGAGCTTCAATCGGTGAGAAGCTCAGCTTCTCCCTCCAATTATTTACGTCACTATTCTTTAATGACCTGTAAGTGGGCAAATATTGAATAAACATGTTACGTAAAGACTATTTGCACACATGTTATCATGTCTACATTCATATCTTCTTTATCTAAAGTTAAGAAATGTAATAAACATTTTCCAGGTTTCGTGAAAATGCAATCTGTAGTCAATCAATTAATTATATATTGTGAATTATAATTTAACAAACGAGATATTTTAATGTTATTATTCATCTTCGTGATATATTCCTCTCTGCCATCAAAAACATAATACGTGTAGATCTGTTGATTAACAAAATCTTGATCGAATTGTTCTTTCGAACTATTTACCTTTCATATTCATCTAATTGAAAAAATTTGAATGGTTTTTGTTTTTGATTTCCATATAAATACATTACAAAAATTGGTTTATCATCTTCAATTGGAATTTTTGCTAAAACAACATAATAATTTGCAACTAGAAAAATGAAAAAAAATGTTTTCTAATAAACTGGTTTTTTTGTTAAAATAATAAATCTTATTTTTTTAATACATCGTGAAAGATTTAATAATTTAATTTGATCATAACGATAATGTAAATATCCTTCGCAAATAATCCATTTTTTTTGTATATCCAAATATTTGTATGAAGTATAATCAATCATTGAATTGACATAGTTTTTTGTAGTTAAATTTTTTTTTAATGTTTTGCTTTTTGAAACTGAATAAATACAATAAAATAATTTATAAAATCAATTATTTTGTTTTTAATCATACTCATGATTTTTTTTTATCTAAAAAAAAGTTAAAATATTTTTCTTGTTTATTGAATTAAATATTACAAAAGAACAAAAAGATGAGATTTTCTTTTTTTTTTTTAATATTAAAATCCTCCACGTAAAGCTAAAACTAAATGAAGAACACTGCCAGCAGTAACATTATATTCATTGACAGTTTTATCATCCAACATTTGTTTACCACCGAATATGAGACGTTGTTGAGGTGGAGGAATTCCTATTTAACAAGAAAATCAAAATCAGTTCTCTAAACTGGAAAAACTATTTTGCTACCTTCTTTTTCTTCAACACGTTCTTTAATTCGTTCGATTTTATCTGTTCCATCAATATCAACTTCAATTTCTTTGCCAGTTAATGTTTTCACTTTGATCATCATCTTTGATAGGTACAAACTCGAATAGTTTATCGCTTAATTTTACAAGATAATATAACTATTGGATTACTTATGGTATTTTATGGAATATGAGTCAGATGATTCCATTTTTTTTTCTCTTGAAAATTGAATCTAATTTTTTTTGTAAAAAGAAAATTCTTTTTTTTTGTTAATTATATTTATTTAAAAAAATTTCTAAATAAATGATTAGTTGAAAACAATACGATGCAGATGTCATTTTTAGTCATCTTGTGAACAAGTGTGAAAAGATCTGAGCAAACTGTTTGTGATCATTGGTCGGTATAAGAAAAAAAAATTTCTTAGTCAAACGAATATAGGAATATAAGATCGAAATATGTGTATTGATTATCTGACAAGGTCATACGTATTTATTTGTCCTTCATATAAAAGAAATATTCTAATCATGTAAATATAAACTATCATAAGCGTAGGTTTTTTTTGTCGATCAGATAAAATAAAAATATTTTTAAGTAAACTATTGTTAAGGTTATTTGTTAATAACATTCTTTTTTCTTTATAATAGCACAGATGCAAAATTGAAAGTTCAATGTCTTGTTTTATGTTTGAATGAGGTACTTATTCATATGTCCATGAAGATCATTCATCATTGTCAATAGAAAAGAAAGAAAGCAGAACAAGTGTGAAGAATCGAGTGGTTAACTGCAATACAGTGCTTTCCATCAGCATCATCTCATCTGTCTACACCCTCTTGTGATGTAACAAAAAAAGTTGCCTCTCAATGACAAGTGATTATACATTCAGACCTAAAACATTATCGCAGAGAGTTACATATTCACATGCATGATCATTATTCATAAAAGAAAGAGATAAGCGGTTGGTTTACATTCTTTATTTGTTATTCTATTTATGTATTTTAGACAAAAAAAGAAGAATGTCGACAAATCGACTAACACCATTTAATAAACGTACTATGCCAACAAATAATAATACACATACGATACGTAAGAGTTCAATAAAATATATATATGAAAAGATATTTTCTTTCTTTTTTTTTTTAATTTCTTTATTAGCAGATATACTCGGTCATGAACAAATTGACTTAACACGTTTAAAAAAACAAGCACAATTAACTCAAACACAAATACCAAAAATTCCACGTATAACACGTACATTAAATACACTTGAAAATGTTTTGAAAGTCTTAGAAGAACATAGTCGAACATCAAAATATCAAATTGATCAACTTGTAGAATCCGTTGAAAAAGAAAATCATCAATTAGCACGTGTAAATATTTTTTATTTTTCTATAGCAGCCACAAAAACAAATATTTTTTTTTCGATTTTCTTTTTTTTAAAGCAATTACATGAATCTCAAGTTGCTTATTTAAAACTACAAGCTCATACAGCTTCATTACAAAGTTTAAAAGAATGTTATTGTCGTTATGCTCATATGCTTGATGGTGCAAGAACAATGTTTAATGCATATCAACAAACTACAACAAGACGAGATTCAATTGATCAAGTTAAACTTGGTCTCAAAGAATGCACTAAAGTTAGTTTTTATTTAGAATATTCACTTTTTCATAATCTGATTTTTTTATGGTATCTGCATAATTACTTTCGAGAGAGAGTGTCTCGTCAAGTGTAAAACTGCCTTTTGCTCGAGGTCTTTTCGATTGATGGAAGAACCACTTCACGTGTAAAATTGCTTTTTAAACTGAGATGATGTTTATTTGATGAGTGTTAGAGAATAATAGATAATTTGTTTTTCAGACTTTTATTCTCAAGATATCACAAGTTTTATTGGTTTTGTCAACAAAAAGTTGTGATCCTCTCAGATCACGTAGAAAATTAGCTTTCGACTTCAAACTTTGTACGAACAAAATTTGTAGTCAAGCGTCGGTTATCTATGTGACTTGAGAGAAGAGATATAGCTTCTCAGTGAAAACCCTAGTAAAATTTCGATATTTTGGTTGAAAAGTGATTTAACATCTAGAGGAGTTCCCTCATGAGATATCAATTTTTTTAGTGAATTTTCTAGGAACGCTATATTTTCGAATTTTGACCTAAAACTGTACTTATATCAAGAGTTCAATTAAACTTGGTTTCATTAAAAGTTTCAGAGATTTTGATATTGTCGTTTTACTTGCATATAATCGTAAAGATCTGATATGAATAAATTATAAATTTAAGTTATTTTCTTCAATATTTCTAATTGAATAATGTTCATAAACTAATTTCTTTTCTTTTTTCTTCAAAAAATCATATTACTTTGTGTACCTAAAGTATGAATAGTAGAATTATTAGGTATATTTTTTTCCACTAATAAACCATTTCTTTATCTTTTTTTTAATCATAATGAAAAATGATATGGACTAATTTCTTAGAATAATTATTGAATTTGGTTTTTGTATTTTTATTAAATTAATATACTGAGAACAAAATAATTATTTTAAATATCTTTATAATAGACATTATGTGCAATTGAAGCTCAATTAGAAGCAATGTTAGGTACATTTGTATTAAATTTACAAGAAATAAGTGGTTTTTCTCGAATATGTCCTGGAGATGAATATGAATTAATTATTCGTTATGGACAACAAAAATGGAAAACACGTGGTCGAATACCTAAACATGATAAAAATGAACAAAATTGGACTAGACAAATATTTCATTTAAAAGCTAAATTAGCTGACTTATTATTAATTAAAATTAGTGAAGTTAGATTATTAGGTGTTTCATTAAAAACAATTGGAACAAAATGTTTTGAAGTTAATAATTTTTATTCAATGGAAACACAACGTATGATTATTAATGCAAATCAAAGTGGAACAATTAAATTAATTTTTTTAGTTAATTGGGAGTAAGTTATTTTTTTTTCAATTAAATTAATAATTCTAAATAATATTATCAAAAGATAATTGACATACAGAAAAATTTTTACAATTGGAATATAAGGCTTCTTGTTATTTGATATATCAAATGATATTTTTCTTCATGATGATCTATTCCACTCTCTCTCTCTCTGTTTGAATTTATTAATGATAACGTTCGGTTTTTTTTTTTGTTAGTTAGTTTTTTCCTTCTTCAATCATTGTCATGCGTGATCGATGACAAGCAATCAACATATGTCAAATTAGAATCAGTCCGACTTTTTGAATATGGTTATCTTTAGAATGATATATTAGTAGTTTTGTGAAATATGATCTAAAAGGAGTGTTGAAGTATAAGAGTAAAAATTTGCACTCACTGCTCTCACAGACAGTGTTGATACACGATCAAAGATCATATATCAATAACACTCGTTGTTATGTACGAACTACTTTCTTGTTATATTTCTGGAAGATTGATTAAAAAGACAGTGAAGAAATGTGTCCCAAAATAGATAGAGTAAAGTAATCTCGTGGGGATCACGCTTACCAGTTTTTTTTCACAGACTCATCTGATTCATTACTTGATTGAGTTTAACAGTATCACGCATCTTACATGGATGTATGCACTGCAGTAGCTTCTATTTTATAGCGAAAACGACATCTCGATCTCATTGCCTGTACACAAGTTATTCAAAAAATAAAGAAATTTGAACAAAAAATATTCCTAATTCTGAATGCTGGTGCTTAAAGGATTAAATTTTGGAAAGTGATAAAAAGAAAATGCAATGGTTCGTTATTGATAGTTAGAAGAATATTTATATATGTGCTTTTATTTTCCATACTTGTCAATAATGACCTTTCAAATAAATGAATATCAAATTCACAACTGTTACTTCCAAGACAGATGCTTCCGCAATGTTTATTTTCCTACAATACTTTTAGTTAAGATTACGAGCATTCAATAAGTCAATTAGAAAAATGAAGAAATCAGAGATAGAGCTTGTTCTCAGTTTGTCATTATCCTCCATCATGAGTTACTTTAATATTATACGAACAACTGTTGTCGAAGAACAAACGTTATGGAAGCATGTCTCTAGAGTACAACAGTCGTGTTATGTTGAATATCTAATTATAAATTATCTTTTCTTAATAAGAAACAATCCAATCCATTTAATCAAATAGGATAAGGATATTAAATTTTGGTTTGATTAAAATAATTTTCAATTTATTTTATCATTATGAGTGACTATGAAATATAGTTTAGTAAATATAAGATAATTCGAATTGCAGAACTTCTTTGAAATACTATTGAAATATCTAATTTGATTTGAATAAAAATTCTATTATCTATTTATTTAGTCTTTATGATCAAGTTGATACAAAATTTACATTTTATAATCCAAATCGAACATATTCCGATGTAACACGAACATGGTCAATGTTTGTTGGAAATACAACATTACTTCGAACTGTAAATGATACACTTACATCTTCTTCTTCTTCTTCTCAATATTCTTCTAAACGTTTATCAACATTTTGTCCAATTAGTTCTCAAGAAACTAATGAATATGTAACATATAATTCAACAACAGATGAAAGTAATCATTATGATGAAATTGATATAGAAAATAAATATGAACAAATACCAAAAGAAGAAGTAAATTTAAATAATTTATTTATTCAAATATTTATTTATTTATTTAGATTTGTGATAATATTCACGTTCATGATGATACTCATTCTTCATCAAATTCAT